GCACTAACCCACTTGAGCCACATCCCCAACCCTGTTTTGTATTTTATTTGGGGACAGGGTCTCACCGAGTTGTTTAGCACTTCACTAATGCTGAGGCTGTCTTTGAACTCACAATCCTTCTGCCTTAGTCTCTGAGCTGCTGGGATTATAGGCGTAAGCCACTGCATCCGGCTTTCTGACATAGGGTCTTGACAAGTTGCTAAGGCTAAGTTACTAAGGGTTCCCTGAACTTGCGATCTTCCTGCCTGAGCCTCTGAGGTGCTAGGGTTACACCCGGCCCTGTGTATTCTGCTAACACTGTGCTGCTTGTTCTGTTACTACAACCTACACATGGCTGTGTATATTTAAACTTTGACTCGGATAAATTAAAACTCCTGACCCTGTGGATTGAGTGGAGCCATGTGTGGCTGCAGTGGACAGCACAGACACTGAACATGCCCAGGGTGCAGGAGTTCTGTGGAGCAGACGCACTCACTTTGAATTTCATTATAATTGCAACATAACAAGACACTGGTCCACTTGCCAGGCAGAAAAGGGAGGACGACACTTTGCTGTAGTTCCACGTACTACTGGTTAGTGAAGAAGGACCTTCCTAATGCCTTGGTCATAATAACACAGCAATCTTTTTTTTTTTTTATTGTTTGGTCTTTTTGGCAAATTATTGAAAAAGGACTTCTGTGGAATGTGTACAATTATCTATGGTTGTAGAAGATGCAACTAATTTTAGTTTGATGATTTAATACTGAAATAAGCCTGCCACTCAAAATTTAATGTTTAATATGCTTTAAAATATTAATATTCTTAGTATGGGCTGGGGTTGTGGCTCAGCGGTACAGTGCTCGCCTACTACTGAGTGGGAAGCCCTGGGTTCGAGCCTCTGCACCACATAAAAATAGATAAATAAAATAAAGGTATTGTGTCCAATTACAACTAAAAAAATAAATTTAAAAAAGTTAATACTTTTAGTAAACATTAAGTTTACTTATTAATAAAAATAAGGGATTTTTAAAATTGTGATTGTTGTTTTTTGTTTTTGCAGTCACTCTTGAATTCATTTGAAGAAATTAATTTTCTGTGTTTGCAATCTATTTGCTAATAAGACAATTGAGAATATATATTTGTTAGCTGGGTTCAATGGGGCACACTTGTAATCTCCGTGTCTGGAGAGGCCAGAGTAGGAGGATGACATATTTGAAGCCAGCCTCAACAACTTAGAGAGGCTGTGTCTCAAAATAAAAAATAAAAGGACTGGGTATGTGGCTCAGTGGTAGACCCCTGGGTTAAATCTGTAGAACCACACAAAAAAAATCTACTTGTTGGGAATCCACAAATCAGTCAGTGACTTGAGCAATATGTGCTGTTGTAGATATTACTACTCATGCTTACAGTGTTGAAAGTAGGAAGTGCCYAGTTCATTTGAATAGGAATCACCAACTGGACACAGTGGTGCCTGCCTGTAATCTCAGTGACTTGGAAGTCTGAAGCCGGAGGATCTCAAGTTCAAGGCCAGCCTGGGCAAATCTTGCTGTCTCAAAAAGTAAAAAGGGGTGGGGTTTGGGTTTAGTCTGAAGTACCTAAGCAAAACACTGAACTGATGTGACAAAACATAAGACAGTGATCAATTCTGGACAGTAGGATTATGGTTGATGGGGTGGTTTGTTTGTTTGTTTGTTTGTTTTTTGGTGGCACTAAGGATTTACCCAGGGTGCTATACCACTGAGCCACATCCCAGCCCTTTTACTTTTTATTTTGAGCAGGATCTCACTAAGTTGCTGAGGTTGGCTTTGAACTTGCAATTCTCCTGTCTCAGTTGCTTGGATTACAGAAGTGTCACCATGTCTGGCTGAGTTTTTTTACTACTTTTCAGTATGTTTTAAACCACGAAAGTAATGAATTTGAGACTCTTTGTCTTATCCAGAAATAACTATTAGGTTCATCTCTGTTCCATTTTCCCAGAAAACATGGACACAGACCTGCAAGGCAGCCTGGGGCAGAGTGAAGAGAAGCCCGTGCCCGCGGCGCCTGTGCCCAGCCCCGTGGCCGCGGCCCCTGCACCATCCAGAAGAAACCCTCCTGGTGGCAAGTCCAGCCTGGTCTTGGGTTAACTGACTGTCCTGAACTCTGTCATTTTGTTTGTTTGTTTTCTTCATGCTTGTGAACTGCACAACTTGAGCCTGACTCTATATCTTTTGAATTTGTTTCATTAAAAAGAAGCACTTTATGTACTGCTGTCTTTTTTTGTTTGTTCGTTTTCTTCCTCCTTTTTCTTTTTGAAGAACAGGATTCTCTTTCTTTGTCTGACTCCTGGGTCTGTGGGCCATGGCATGAGTGTTTTCTAGTAGTAGATTGAAGGGAAAGCTTTGTGACACTTAGTACCGTGTTTTTAAGAACAAATCATTTGGTTCCTGATGTGGTAGAGGCTCTTTTGTATGAGGTTTTTGACGCACTGTTCTTGGGTTTACCATGGTTGGACAGACCTTCTGCAGTCCACAGGCACCACCCCGGCAGCCCCACCACACATGAGGTCTGTATGCAGAGCTTCTCTGTGGCGCTGCCCTACTCTCTCAGTGCCCTTAGCTAAAGCATCTTCCTGTGCCATATGGAAGAGGCCTGAGCCTCACAACCCGCTGCCTGAAAGCAAAGAAGCTGCCTTTTTTTAACCTTCAGAAGTGAGCCAGGTACTAACATGGCTGGCTGGCCGATGAGCAAGAGGACAGCTTCAGACGCACAGTCAAGCCACCGGGATGAAGTGGTGACGCAAGCCAGGGAGGCGAGCACACGGGTGGCCCCATGCAGGAGCGGGTCCCACAGGGGCACTGTTCTTACTAAGTAACTTGACGCTGTGTGCATGATGCTGGTGCTTGACCATGAAATGAAAGTCTCATCTTTAAAATGTGTATTGTACCTCCCGATCCTGGACTGTTGCTTACAGTAAACAATGCCCACATTTTGAAACATTGTGTCCTGTGTCTCTTTCATATTGTTTCAGTGTCCTTCCTTTTGCTTTTTTCTTTGCCACTATAATCCTGTCCAATGATTGGATTAATTGAATCCYTTTAAAGGTTCAAGGCCAGCTTGGGCAATTTAGCCAGACCTTATATCAAAATTAAAACAAGGTCTGGGGTGTGGCTCGGGTGGAGCCGCCACGGGGTGCAATCCCCAGCAACAAGATTAAAAAGTTTGTTTCCATTTTGTGAGGTCCTTATCAAGAGGGCGTGGTGGTTAAACAGAAGAGGACAACAAAGGAAGTGTCCACATAATCAGAAAGTGGTGGTGGCCAAGGCCCCACAAGTGCTCTTTGGGGTCTAGGCAGAAGGTTCCAGGTCAACATGTCAAATGTCCAAATCAGGCAGTAAGGCCTGTTTTTGCGTCACCCATGCTACTAAACTGCCGTGCTCCTCTGGGCCTCAGTTTCCCCATTGGCAAAATGAGACTTTGGAAGTACTAGGCACATCTTTTGGAAGAATAAGGGAATACCAGATAAATCAATCATCAGTATATTGAAACCGGCTTGCCCTGTAAATACTGGCCTATACCAGTATAGGCTTATACCATCGACCTGAAAAGGAGGGAAACTGCACCCTTCTCTTCCTACTAGTAAGGGTAGGGCTCCTGGAAAAGAAAGGTCTTTGGTTTTTGTCACCACTTGATAGTTGTTTTAAATTTTTTGTTCTATGAAGATAAGCAAACACTTAAAATGAAAGCTGGTCTGGGGTGGGGAACAGTTGAGCCAGTCGCTTTGGGACTATTAGAGCAGATTTAGCACTGGAATGTGTTATGGGTGTTCAATTGCTAGTCTGGAAAGTGAAGTTTTTTGATCTTCAAACCGTGACAAGATGACTACAAAGTTACCCAAGGAGCAACTTCATTGGCAGACCTCTTGGCCTGTTTGTGTGACTAAAGTACCTTGGTGAAGGAGGCCAAAGACGCAGTTGGGCACTGAGTACATCTGGCTTAATGCTTCCTACCTCTTGCACAGTTTGAAACTGACTCACCTTAGATCAGGTTCCCCTTATGTGATGCTTTTGACCCATTGGTGTGGGAGTGGCAGGGTCCTCAGATGGAGAACATGGAGATGGAAGGATGATAGAGGCTTCTGCTGTACGTGCCATTTCCAGAGAAAGAACAGCCCTGATTAGCAGTGCTTGAAGGAAATCACCTCCCCAAGTGAACAGGAGGTTTGAACTATATTCTCCCATGTTTCAAACCTATTCTGGTAAGGCTGGGCCTGTAGATCAGTGGTAGGATGCTTGCCTAGCCCCAGTTCAGTGCCCAGTGCTACAAAAATAATCGACTCACAGACCCCATTACCTTCAACAGTTTCATTCACTTCACATTAACGCGCAGCCCCCATGATTCAGGCCTTCAAGCATCAGGGCTCTGGTCTGGGGTCTCTGCATCCAGCCTGGTCAAGCAGTTAGGGCAGAACTGTCGGTGGCCTCAGAATTTGAGACTTCGAATTTAATATGTGCAGCCAGGCCCACAGATTTAAAACGCGTTGCTTCCTTGTTAGAAGGTGCTTCACAGGCTGGGCACCGTGGTGCACTTTTGTAAACCCAGCGACTCGGGAGGCTGAGGCAGGAGGATTACAAATCTGAGGCCAGCCTGGGCAATTTGGCGAGGCTGTGTCTCAAGAAATGAAAAGGGCTTGGGGATGTAGCTCAGTGGTAAAGCGACACAGGTTGGTTCAACCTCCAGTACAGAGAAAAAAGGACGGGGGAGAAAAAAAGAAGATAACTTCCAGTATTTTAGATCGTGCCTTTTTTGGGAGGACGAAGGGTGAGTCACGAAAAAGCTGAAGATCTTAAAAGAGATGGCCTTCAGCTGTCCTGCCCTGGTACCAGAAGGGGTTCCTGCCACCGCAGGTCGACAGGAAGACAGGTTTGAAGACCGGTGCCSGGTGTCGCCCTGCGTCCCCACCTGCGGCCTATGCAAATTAGCCGGGCTAGTCTGACGGGGCTCCGCCCACGGCTCGCGGCCCGGAAGCGGTGGCACTCGGCGCCCAGCGCTCCGCGCTTCCGGCCGGCTCAGCCCCTTGGGTCCGAGACCCTCGAGACCCCAAGACCCCCGCAGCCTGGAGGCGATGGCAGCGCAGCGCGCGCGGCCCGTGCGTGTGCTGGTGGACATGGACGGCGTGCTGGCCGACTTCGAGGCCGGCCTCCTGCGGGGCTTCCACCGCCGCTTCCCCGGGGAGCCGCACGTGCCGCTGGAGCAGCGCCGCGGCTTCCTGGCCAGCGAGCAGTACCGAGCCCTGCGGCCCGACCTGGCGGTAAGACACGGAGCCCGGAGCCTCGCCGCTTGGACAGGAGCTCCTGGGCTTCGTTCCGGGGACACCCCTTTTGTTTGAAATGAACAAAACTCCCACTTTTGCATCCATAGTTCACCCCGGGACAGGAAAGGTCGGGAGAGTGCCCGCCCACCCTCCGCGACCACCACCTTCCCGACCCTCCTCTCTCCGAAGCCCCGGCCTGGGGAGCTTAATGGAGACGTCTCCGGGGCTCCATCTGCTGGAGGCGAGACCAGGACCGAGAACTCTTCTCTTGCAGGATAAAGTGGCCAGCGTGTATGAAGCCCCAGGCTTTTTCTTAGACTTGGAGCCCATCCCGGGGGCTTTGGAAGCCTTGCGGGAGATGAACGCCATGCCAGAGTAAGGAGGGAGGGGCGGTGACACCCGCGGGACAGCGGTGGCTTCTGCGGATCTAACTGGGCCCCCTTCATGGGCTGGGAATATAGCTCAGTTGGTAGAGTGCTTGCCTTGCATGCACAACGCCCTGGTTTCAATCCCCAGCACCACACACACACACACACACACAAAAAAAAACAACCAAAAAACAACTAACTGGGCCCCCTTCTCTGCAGCACCGAGGTCTTCATCTGCTCCAGCCCTCTGCTGAAGTTTGACCACTGTGTGGGTGAGAAGGTGCGGCCGCCTGAGCTAATTTAGCTTACCAGATCATGATTTTGAAAATCAAGTCAGCCCATGAAGACAGCACCAGCTTTGGCCTCCTGGGGGGGGGGGGCTGGGGGAAGGAGAAACATTTCAAGGACTCCCACTCAGTCTGCGCTGTCTCTGGATACAGGGTTCCTCAGGCCCCGCTGACTGACCTGTCTCCCATACAGTACCGCTGGGTCGAGCGACACCTGGGACCCCAGTTTGTGGAGCGCATTATCCTGACAAGAGACAAGACTGTGGTCTTGGGAGATCTGCTCATTGATGATAAGGACACCATTCAAGGTTGGACCTGTTATCTTTGGCACCTCCAGGCATCTGGCCTGCCTGGATTAGGTAGAGGGTAAAAATAACTAGATTACATGTTCCATGTCTTTCCTTCCTAGGCCTAGAGGAAACCCCAAGCTGGGAGCACATCTTGTTCACMTGCTGCCACAATCAGCACCTGGCCCTGCCCCCTTCAAGGAGACGTCTGCTCTCCTGGAGTGACAATTGGAGGGAAATTATAGAGAGCAAGCGGGCAGCTGTGTAGTGGGAATGAGCTGGACCTGCAGGCGACAGTGCTGAAGTGAAGGCAGGCAGGCTGGCAGGGAATCCCTGAAGAGCCAGGGACTCCTGCCATGCAGAATGGAGACCAGTAGTAACCTCTGCTTGCACAGGCCCAGCCACCTGGCACCTCCAGAGACGGCTGTACCTGGAGCACGACTGGCATAGAAATACAATGGAATATCAGCTAGTCAGGACCCTTTTAATAAAAAAAACTTGGGCTGTCTGGTCTCTTAAAATCCTTTATTTGAGAAAGGAGAGGGATAAGAGCGCCGGGTGGGTGCAGCTGGAACAAGGGCTTAGGAGAACAGATGCTTCCTCCCTTCTCCATCTTGTGGTTCCTGCCCTTGCTTCCACACCCACTTGAATAGCATTCCTCTAGAATGACCTTTGTGTGGCTGTCCAAGGGGTGCACCTGAGAGSCCAGGGCCCTCCATTTTTCACAAACCACAACTTTCCACTGGGACCACATTCCTTTCTCTGTTGACCAGCACCAGGGGGTGCACACATACCTCTTCTTCTCTGCCTTGAGCATCACCCTTTCATTTGTGCCCCTGAAATCCATGGGCCTGTGGAAACATCTCAGGGCAAGCCTTACCTCCCAGGATGCTTCCTATGACAGCAGAGAAGGGCCAGGYTTCTAGTTGGAAGCCTTGGAGCAGTGAGGGGAGACTATCCCGCTCTAAGGGGTCCTGCCTTTATTCTGTATTCTGAAGTGTCATCACTCTCAGGGCCTTGGTCTTAATGCTTGCTGGCCATGTTAACATCACAAGATTTCATCCTTGAAACCCTTATACAGTGCCTATCAGCTAGAAGGGCTGTGGAGATACTTTATCCCAGGCCATAGTTCCACAGGTAGGTGTCCACCATGGCCAGGAGCCCAGCCTGGAGACTTAAGGGGGAAGTGTGGTCTTCCACAGCCCTGGAGGGGGAGGTGTGACACCTCAGCTTCCCAAGGCTCAAGTTCTTTTTCCACGTATTGCTGGGGTCACACCCAGGGTCTCATGCATGCCAAACACACACACCTCCACAGCTACACCTCTGCTGCCCCCCACCCAGGTCCTTTTAATGATGAGGCTTCTCATATCTACCTCAAAATTACTCCAGACATTTCTGTTAAGGGCTAGTCCCTCATTGCCTCAGGCCCAGGCCCAGGGACCAATCCTAAGCCTCAGTTCCAGCTCTGCTCCCCAGCAGGCCCTTGTGCTACATCTGGATTTAGGGCCTGTGCTTTTGACACGAGTGTGAGCCTGGAGGTGGTGGCACTGGGGGTAGGCCCCTCACTTTCAGTGTGTCTGAGTGTCAGCTCATGAAGACAGCACCAGCTTTGACCTCCACAGGTCTCACGTCCCTCCAACTGCCTTTTCAACACAGTGTACACACTTGTTGTGCTGAAAAACTTCACCTTTAAGATGGTAGAAAAGGCAGCATTTTGACAGACTGTGGTCCCCTACTTCCCTGCCAGGACTGTGGTCCCCAGAAATAACGGTGCTGCAGCACTGGGAGCTGCCTGGGTCAGGGTTGCTGCGGGGTCTCAGTCCTTGGCAGTGGGATACCCATGGCAGAGTGGGCCTGCCAGCTACGAGCTTCAGCCACCTGACTTGGGGAACAGTAGTCCTCCAGGAAGATCTGGGCCAGGTTCCGGAGCCTTGTATTGGCAGAAAGAGAGAAGCGCAGCATGCACTGGACCACAGGTGTGGAAGTCAGCTCGTGGTGGGAGCTGGCACCTGGTGAACTCAGGTACATGAGCGTGGTAACTGCGGACAACACTGTCTCCTCATTGGGACTGGACAGGCAGTTGGTGATGAGTGGGATGCCACCTGCTTGCAGAATGTGGTCCTTGTTGGCCCTGTCTGAGCACAGGTTGCAGAGGCCCCCTGGGGAAAAGCAAGGATGGGTTCAGAGTCTTCCTCCTATCACTCTCCCAGTTCCTCTCCATCCTGAGTCCCAAGGAGGGGCTCAGGCCTATAATAAGGAGTTGGCCCAGGGAAAAAGGAATGCAAAGCTCATTCCAGGCTCCAGCCCACTCTCTCAAGGTTCCAGGAAGGCCTGCCTGCTATTGCCTAGCCTTTCAGAAGTGGCACAAACAGCAAAGCATGGTGGCATATGCCTGTAATTCCAGGGTCTTAGGAGGCTGAGCCAGGAGGATCACAAATTTAAAGCCAACTTCAGCAATTTAGCAAGACCTTGTCTCTAAATTAAATATTTT